AGCGCAAAAAAAAAAAAAAAAAAACGGGGAAAAAAAAAAAAAAAAAAAAAAAAAACCGGGTACCGGAAGATGAGGCGCAAAGAGAAGGCTGGGGAAAGGAAGAGAGAGAGGAAAAGCAGAGAGTGTCTTGGTGAAAAGGGAGTGACGGCGACGGTAACGGTAACGATGACGGCGAAGGCGACGGTAACGGTAACGATGACGGCGAAGGTGACGGTAACGGTGAGGGTGAGGGTGAGGGTGGGGAGAAGTGGAGGAAGGCGAGCATAGCGGCGTCGTTTTGGGCCTGTTTGGCGTTGCGGGTGGCGGAAGGGGTGTGGAAGGAGACGCCGTTAACGGTGACGGTGGAAGTGAAGCGAGGGTTGTGATCGGGGCCTTCTCTGGTGTTTGTGTAGGTTGGTAAGGGCCATGACCTTCTCTGGCATAACTCTTGAACCTTTGTTTTGTACATTTTTCACTTGCTCTTCGCCACTCCTATTCTTCTTTCACTGCATTTTATCACTCTCACCACGCCACACGGGTGCACAAATTGAACCTCCCACTAGACAAGACAAGCCAAACTTACGATTGTTTCAGTCGTATTGTACTATACTAGGGGGGAAAAGGGGTAACGTAGGTCTCTCTATTTGAACAAAATTGAAAATAAAAAAATATTGAAAATGAAAAAATAATGAGCAATTATTTAAGAATAAATCATCTATACACTGCTAGTAAAGTTTTTTTACACTAATAACTAATCATATATTTTAATAATGATATATCAGATACTTATTTAATGAAATAATAATAAAATAAACAACTTTAAAAAATATTATTAATTGTTAGTGTAAAAAGTTTTATACTGACAATGTATGAATGATTAACTCATTATTATTTAAAGGATGAGAAATTTGAAATTGAATTCTTTCAAATAGAAGATATTGAAAGAGAATATGAGTTAAATTAAACGTAGTTATAATTATAAGTTAATTTAAAAAATTTATATATTGAAAATAGATATCTTTTTATTAATAATATGAATTATTATATTGAACTACTAAATTAAATGAAGTTAAAATTGATCTGTTGATTTTAATTGAGTTTATATAGTTGTAAACACTCTAAAAGAATTTTTATAGTTTAAACATTTTATAAATAAAAGGTTTAAATAACTTTTTAGTCCATGTAAAATAAGATGTCTTAATTTTTAGTCTTTTTTAAAAAATTCATTTTTATTTTTGTAAAAAAAATATTTTATTTTCATTTTTATTGTTAGATTAACTGATAAATCTAATGAAAAAAATAATAAAAGAAATCAGAAATCAAAATAAAAAGGTACGAAATTATTGGGACCAAAATAAAAATAACTGAAATTAAAGGATTAAAATGAAATGAACTTTATTTTATAAAGGTAAAATATTTATTTGATTCAATTTTAAAAAATTTAAAACTTTAAAAATAATAAATGAACTAATACATAATATAAAATAATAAATATAACAAATGATGATTAGTAAAAGAGTTTATAAAAATTAAACGTGCAATTTCTTAAAAGTCTTATGATGACATAATTCAATTATCCTTATAAATGTTAAAAAGTAAATATAACAAATAAGTAGAAAATAAATTAAACATAAAATAATATAAAGATAGAAAAATGAATCAAAGTGAACATGAAATAATAAAGACATCAAATGAAGAATGAAAAATAAAATATGTTGACATTTTTTATATGCTACACTGATATCTCTTATAAATTGCATTACATTAAAAATCTTTTTTTATTATTATATGGTTGTGTTATTATTCATTTTGACATGTATGGTATTTTGATGTTTTATTCTTACCTATCTCCATTTATTATATATATATATACATATATATATATATATATATTTTTTTTTTTTTTGCAAGAGGTGATTGCAATATTACTAGATTACTTCTATAAAGTTTTATGTTTAAGACTTATTTATTTTAGATGATCACTAACAATTAATATTTTTACTTTGTATAAATGTAAATTAACATTTAAACTTTATAAATTTAACTTAAATAATAGTCTAATTCCTTTAAAATAAGGCTATTTTAATTTTAATTATTTTTGTTAAATCCTCTTAATTTGTTACCTTTAAATTAACCTTGGATTGGGTTGAGACATTGATCTGTTGAAAGCATTAAGAGTCTATGGTTTATGGAGTTTCCAAAATCTATAGTTGTAGTGATTGAATCCAAGAGGTTATGTGTTGAGCATCGGAGCTTTGAGTGTTCTTGATAAAAGGTTGAAGTGTTGGTGATTTCCTTAAGTTTTGATGCTTGCATATTAACCTTGTTAAGGGTTATGTTGCATGAGGATTTTATTTCAGTTTTAAGTCTTTTGTGCTAAATATGTGAGTTATTTTGGTGGGAAGCTTGGATATGAGTTTGAGGTGGAAAGGAGTGAGTTTGGAAGGGTTGCACAAATTGAACCTCCCACTAGACAAGACAAGCCAAACTTACGATTGTTTCAGTCGTATTGTACTATACTAGGGGGGAAAAGGGGTAACGTAGGTCTCTCTATTTGAACAAAATTGAAAATAAAAAGATATTGAAAATGAAAAAATAATGAGCAATTATTTAAGAATAAATCATCTATACACTGCTAGTAAAGTTTTTTTACACTGATAATTAATCATATATTTTAATAATGATATATCAGATACTTATTTAATGAAATAATAATAAAATAAACAACTTTAAAAGATATGATTGATTTTCAGTGTAAAAAATTTTATATTGACAGTATATGAATGATTAACTCATTATTATTTAAAGGGTGAGAAATTTGAAATTGAATTCTTTGAAATAGAAGATATTGAAAGAGAATATGAGTTATACGTAGTTATAATTATAAGTTAATTTAAAAATTTTATATATTGAAAATAGATATCTTTTTATTAATAGTATGAATTATATTGAACTACTAAATTAAATGAAGTTAAAATTGATCTGTTGATTTTAATTGAGTTTATATAGTTGTAAACACTCTAAAAGAATTTTTATAGTTTAAACATTTTATAAATAAAAGGTTTAAATAACTTTTTAGTCCATGTAAAATAAGATGTCTTAATGTTTAGTCTTTTTTAAAAAATTCATTTTTATTTTGTAAAAAAAAATATTTTATTTTCATTTTTATTGTTAGATTAACTGATAAATCTAATGAAAAAAATAATAAAAGAAATCAGAAATCAAAATAAAAAGGTACGAAATTAATGGGACCAAAATAAAAATAACTGAAATTAAAGGATTAAAATTAAATGAACTTTATTTTATAAAGGTAAAATATTTATTTGATTCAATTTTAAAAAACTTAAAACTTTAAAAATAATAAATGAACTAATACATAATATAAAATAAATAAATAAATATAACAAATGCATTGATGATTAGTAAAAGAGTTTATAAAAATTAAACGTGCAATTTCTTAAAAGTCTTATGATGACATAATTCAATTATCCTTATAAATGTCAAAAAATAAATATAACAAATAAGTAGAAAATAAATTAAGCGTAAAATAATATAAAGATAGAAAAATGAATCAAAGTGAACATGAAATAATAAAGACATCAAATGAAGAATGAAAAATAAAATATGTTGACATTTTTTATATGCTACACTGATATCTCTTATAAATTGCATTACATTAAAAATCTCTTTTTTTATTATTATATGCTTGTGTTATTATTCATTTTGACATGTATGGTATTTTGATGTTTTATTCTTACCTATCTCCATTTATTATATATATATATATATATATATATATATATATATTTTTTTTTTTTTTTTTT